TTTTTTCTCAAAATTATGTTTTGAGGAACAGGGTGTTATGGCATGTGCCTGTGGTCTCGGGAGGCTGGTGAGAAGGTCTGGAGCATTTGAGGAAAGCCTGGGTCACACAATGACTTCAAGGCCATCTTGTGCTATGTGGTGAGACTCTGTGGAAAAAGAAGTTTGTGAAATTCATTTGCATTGACTATGTGACTGTGTGCATATGTAATGAAAACAATTGGGGCTCAGTGGTAAGAGCACTTGCTACACAAGCAGAAGGACTCCAGTTCAGATCCCTGCACCCATATAAAAAGCTGGGTGTGGCCATGTGTGCCCACAACTCCAATGCTGAGGAGTTGTGGGAGACAGGAGGATCCCTGAGTTTGATGGCTGCTGGTGCAGATCAAAAATGGAGAACTCCAGGTTCAGTGAGAGATCCCTTTCCTAGGGAATAAGGAGAAAGTGATAGAGGAGGGTACCTGATGTCCTCTGGTCTTCACACATACACACACACACTCATATAGGTGCACGCATGCACCGATGGGAAGATGGTTCAGGCATTAAAATTCTTGCCATACAGCATGAGGACCTGAGTTCAGCTCTGCAGAACCCATGTAAAATGTGTACCTTTAATCCCAGCACTGGGGAAGTAGACATAGGCATTTCCCTGGGGTTGGTTGGATAGCTAGTCTAGTTGTGTTAGTGAACTTCAGGTTCAGAGAGAGACCTTGTCTCAAAAAATAAGGGTGGACTTTGGTCCAGAAACCAATCTGGAACTGACCTGAAAACGCCCTTCCTGCTGACTAGTTTTCATAGGACCAGAAAACACTATTGCAGTCCACTGGGGGAGAAAATCTATCAGTGGTATTACCCAGTAGTCAATCCTACAAGCTACAAGACTAACCAGACAGGCAAAATGTGCCCACTGGCATAATCATGGTAAAAGTTTCTGAGGATGACCAACACTTTTGGATTGGATTGGAGGTCTGCTCCACAGGAGAGAATTCATGCCTGGTACTGTAAACCTGGTTGAAAATCCATAGCTTAGGAGGTCAGAGATCATACTGTTGTTATCTTGTTAAGTGGACCTGTGGTCAAACCGCCTCCAAAATACTTATGTTTATACATATAGATTATTGATAGAGTCAACTTTGGGCCAGAGAAACTCACTGTGCAGTGCGCCACAATTAATGCAGAGACTCATAACTGGCCAAAATGCCAAGAATAAGTAATTTTTGAGTGCTCAGCCCTAAACAGGACATCTATCTCACACTGCCCCTCCCCGCAAGGCTAGAGGAACATCTGGGAAGAGGGGCAGATAGAATGTAAGAGCCAGAGGACGGGCAGAGGTGCTATGAAATGTTATCTTCTGGATCGCCATTGCACTCGTGAACTCACCTGTATATGATCAAGCCAACAGGAGAAGTCAGCATAGGGACTGGAGATACGGCTTAGTGGTGGAGTGTGCTTGTTGCTCTTCAGGAGGGCTGGGTTCAATTCCCAGTGCCCATATGACAGCTCACAACCATCTTTAACTCCCAGACACTCACTTGGTGCACAATCACACACATACACTGAACTAAGAAGGAAAGAAAGAAAGACAGGAGAGTTATGATATAAACTGGGAGAGGGACGTATAAGGAGTGCCTGTGAGGAGTGGGAAGAGGGAGTTGGGGGTATCTTGGTATATGATCAAGATACATTGTTTTCATGTATAAAATTGTCAAAGAATATTGTCAAAGATATCCTATTAAAAATAAGGTGGAGGGCTGAAGAGATGGCTCAGAGGTTAAGAGCACTGACTGCTCTTCCAGAGGTCCTAAGTTCAATTCCCAGCAACCACGTGGTGGCGCACAACTATCTGTAACGAGATCTGGTGCCCTCTTCTGGCCTGCAGGCATATATGCTGTGTACATAATAAATAAATTAAAAAAAAAAATAAGGTGGAGATGGCTGTGTGGTGGTGGCACACACCTTTAATCCCAGCACTTGGGAGGCAGAGGCAGGCGGATCTCTTTGAGTTTGAGGCCAGCCTGGTCTACAGAGCGAGTTCCAGGACAGCAAGGGCTGCACAGAGAAACTCTGTCTCAAAAAACAAAACAAAACAAAAATTATATAAAAAAAAATAAGATGGAGAGAAACTAAGAAAGATACTTGAGGTAGACTTCTGACCTTCATATGTACATATGTACCTTGAAACACGTGAACATACATACCCACATACATCACACAAACACACATTTCAAAGTCAGTTGTGGTGGTGTACATCTGTAATCACAACACTCAGGAGGCTGAGGCAGGAGGATTGCTGTAAGTTTGAGGCCAGCCAGGGATACAGTTTTGCTGTCTCAAAACCAAAACCAAACAAGGCAAAACAAAACCATCTCTGTTGATGAACATTTGGGCCATTTATTTATTTGTTGTATAAAGAAATATATTGCTGTGAATATTCTTGTACAAGTCTTACTGGGCTCACATGCAATATAATTGGCAAGTCATTATTTCATGCTTTATTTCATAATTTCCTTAAGACAACAAGAATGACAACTTTTGTAGCTAATGAAGGCTTTGAGCATCCCTTAGTTTTCTCTAGTATATATCTAGGAGTGGCATCTGATTGCTGGGTTCTAGGGTTTACCTGAAAAATATGAAATGGGACTGGGCTGTGGCTTAGTTGGTAGAGTGCTTGCCTAGAAGGCACAAAACCCTGGATTTGTAATCCTAGCATTTGGGAGGCAGGAGGATAAGGAATTCAAGGCTGGCATAAGCTATACAGTGAGTTCAAGGCTAGCTTGAGCTACATGAAAACCTGTCTTTTTCGGCTTTTCAAGACAGGGTTTCTCTGTGTAGTCCTCACTGTCCTGGAACTTGCTTTTTAGACCAGCCTGGCCTCGAACTCACAGAGATCCATTTGCCTCTGCCTCCCGAGTGCTGGGATTAAAGGCGTCACCACCACCACCACCTGGCTAGAACCTGTCTTTAAAAAAAGGGGGGGGGGATGAATATGAAAGGTAAATAACTCTTGATCCTCTGGGCTGATTTCAAAACGTCCTTTTCAGCTATTGACACAGGGGGCTCTGGGTGTCCATACCAGACATCGATCATTTAGGAGTGGCCTTGGTCTTGAGGCTGCAACCCTGGTTATCAATGGTAATAAATATGCCACTCACTGAGTGGAAGGAGTCCCATCTGTAGAGGACATCAGCATCTGCCATCTTTATGGCTCCTGCCTCCTATTAGTCATTGCAACAGGACAGATGATTACTGAGCTGCCCTATTCCGGCCAAAGGTCTTCCTGCTGAGCAAGGATTTGTTCACCCAGGAAGGGCAGATATGAGTGGGTGGGTGGAGACAGGCTTTGTTTGCCCTGTCAAAGGCATACTGGTCATGGGGGATGATGATTGCTTTAAAGTCTGAATATTAAACTCTCCCTTCATGTTAGTGGGACCTGAGGCAAAAGTACAAATAGGTGACTACTGAAATTATTTAAAATTATAAACCATTCCAATGCACTGTGAACCTCATTAGAGTCTAGTCTTCTACTATGACTAATGCGCATCATTGTGGTTTGAATGTTAGAGCTTTGCAATGACCCTGGGGCAGACTTAAATTTAGAATTCTTAGAATCAAAATAAGTGAAGAAGAAAGACAAAGAGTAGGACTTGGTGGTCCCGCCCTGGAATCGCAGCTTCTCAGGAGGAGAAGCAGGAGGGTTGCAAATTCAAGGCCAACCTGGGCAATTTAGGAAGACTGAGTTTCAAAACAAAAAAATAGAACAAGAGCTATGGCGATGGCTGAACGGTGGAGTGCTTGCCTACTGTGCTTAGGGTTAAGTCCCCAGGACTGCAGGAGAAAAAAAACCCGAAGAAATAGAACAGCTCGATTCCTGGACTTTGGGGGGATGTGTCCTTGAACAGGGTGGTGAGAGGAGCTGTGGCTACCGGCCCGAGCTAGGCTCGTCGCCTTTCCTCACCTGTCCTGCACCCTGAAGCAGCTCAAATGTCTAACTACCGCCCGAGGCTCGCCTTCTTTCCTCACCTGTCTTGCACCCTGAAGCAGCTCAAATGTCTAAGTGCTATGCCACCTCCTTCAAGTACCGCTGCCCTTTGGCACTTCAGGAAATGTCCACCCTGTCTTGTAGAAAAAGGAGAGACTAAAGCTTCGGCCACAGGGCAGGCAGGTGGACTTGGTCTTGAAGTGCCAGACTGTGTGGACTCCTTGTCCTAGAGAGGCCAGCAAGGCTGGAGAGGAATCTTTAAAGAATGGAGCCTAGGGCTGGCTCTCTTGCCCAGGCATACGGGCAATACATTTTTTTGTTGTTGTGGTTTTTTTCGAGACAGGGTTTTTCTGTGTAGCTTTGGAGGTTTTCCTGGAGGTCTCCCTCTGTAGCCCAGGCTGGCCTGGAACTCACAGAGATCCGCCTGCCTCTGCCTCCCGAGTGCTGGGATTAAAGGCGTGCGCCGCCACCACCGCAGTACTGGATGTAATTTCTCCTCTCCAGTCCCCAGCGCAAGCACTGCGTCTTGGGTATATTTCCAGCAGCTTCCCTGGGCTGGGCACATAAAAGTCAGACATAGCAGCTTCATGGAAAGTACACTGGCTTGCACATCAGAAGACCCGGAGTCCTGGCCAAGTTCTGGCCATAACAATCCTTCCTACTTGATTGCCTCATTTAAACTTTTCTTAGCTACTGTACTCATCAAGGTTATGAGGTTAAGGGACTCACTCTCTCAAGGTCACAGAGCTAGGTGAAGAAGCGGCTGGGCTGGCATGCACCACAGGATTTCCTCACCCGGGCTTTTTTTTTTTCCCTTTTGACTGGGTTCTGGGAACCAGGAGCTTCAAGAGTCCTCGGCTTTCCCGCCGCCAGCCTCCTCCACCCCTAGCTCTCATCAGCAGCTTCCCTCTGATGCTCAGTCCCCCGGACCCCTCCTCCCCTGTCTCCCTCCCTCCCGAGGCCCCGCCTCCCCCCTTAGGCCAGCGTCACGTGCCGCCCCATCCCCCTGCGCCTGCGCACTGCTTATTTCCCGCTGTCAGGATGAGGAGGCGGAGGTCGGCGCTCCGGTCCGTCTCTGCCCGGGGCTGTGGCGGCGCCGGCGGCTCCAGCCTTAGCGGTTCCTCCCTGGGCGGCGGCGGCCGCAGCTCGGTCGACGCCTCCTCCGCCAGCTGAGCCCGCGGCAGTCCGGGACGCCGCTTCCCCGCCCATCCCCGGTCCCCGAGGCCGCCTCCTGGCCATGGCGCAGCCGGGCCCGGCACCCCAGCCTGACGGTGAGGCGCCCACCATGGCGGGCGCGGCCTGCCCGGCGCGGCGGCGCGGGGGCCCTTGGGGCCGGAAGGGCACGCGCGCGGGCCCGGGGGTGACCCGCGGGGCCGGGGGCGGGAGCGCGCGGGCGGCGCGGGGCCCGGGCAGCCGGGCTGGGGAGGGGGCGGGAGGCGCGCGCGGGCGGCTGCGGGGAAGGGCGTGGGGAGCCTGCGGGAGCCGGCGGCGGCGGCGGCGGCGGCGGGGGAGCGCGGAGAGGAAGGTGCCGTGGGATTAGCATGTGGGTTCCGCCCGCGGGGAGGATGGAAATGGAGAACATGTGCTATATTCGTTTAAAAAAAAAAAAAAAAAAAGCGAGCCCTCGTCTCGGTAGTGGCGGTGTGCCTCTCGCCCCACCTCCGCCCCCGCCTCCTCGGGCCACGCTCCAGCGCTCTTTGCACCGGGTTCTGTGACTTGTAAAAGTAACTGGGATCGCTAATGATTTGGTAGCGTTCTTTGAGTGGTAGTGTTGCTTAACGGTGAGTCCGGGCACATTTCTTAGTCTCTTTAGGACCTCACTTTCTGACGCACGAGAAGTGCTTGATTCATGCCCCTTTATCGAGAAAGATGGGCAAGCCGTTGGGCCATGCGATAAAGATGGCCACATTCATATGTAAAAGGATAGCTTAGTATTATTTTGAGAGTGTTGGGAATGAAAACGGTGCTCGAGAAAGCCAAAGTCGAGGAATCAGTCTTCCTCTCTATTTCGTCTCTTCCTTTCAAGCGATGGGGGTTTGGGGGTGGGTGTCTCATTTCCTTGACCATGTTGGCCTGAAACTCCTGAGCTATCCTCCTGCCTCAGTAGCCGAGACTTAACAGGTGCAGGTCAAACTGTCTTTTAATAATGCTCGTATTTTTGGAAAGGAAAAAAGGCCTTGTCCTAAATAAGCCAGACTGGTCGTCAGAGCCCTTCATGACCTTTCAGCCGACTGAGCTCTGCTTCAGAGTTTTGACCACATTGTTTCAATTTTTTTTTTTTCCCTCAACATGGAGTTATGTTTGAAAAGAATGTGCTTGGTTCTTGGCAAGATCTTACTGTGTCTGTTGAGAAAGTTCTTTCAGGTGTATTTCTATAGTCGGCCTTTGTGCTTAGCATCTTTATGTGTAAGTGTAAGTAGAATGTTGGATACGGTGTTTGGCACAGGAGGGTTCTTCTTTTGGCCTTTACCAAGAATAGTCTCTTGAAATAACCTTTTGTGAAAATCTCTCTGTTCTTGCCGTGGGTGAACTGGAAACAATGTTATCAGATTTTAAGGCTCTTGCTGCTCTCCGGGAAGTGTGCTCCAAAGCCTGTTAGCCTCTTGTTTTGGGTTCTGTTAGTTGCCTAAAGGGTAATGTCCAACCTGGACTTTAATTCGCTTACTGTTCTATTCAAGTAGAAGAGAAGAGATGGTGGGCTGTCAGGAAACAGGGATTTTTTTTTTTTGACCTTCTTTTAATTCTCACCTTTTGTATTTGGTGTCGGGGAAGAAAACTTTACAAACCCTGTTTGTTACTGCAGACAGAGGCAGAATACAGAGAAAGCTCTGGCTTCTGGTAGGTATGCTTAACTGGCTGCTGCCTTCTTTTGCCTTCCATGGACTACTCAGGTGACATGGGGAGTCTGGACTCCACATTTCCTGCCTCTTTCAAGATATGAAATGGTCTTCCCTGCAAATAGGCAGAAGTGACTAAGCACTTCACAGCGCTGAGGAAAACGTTAGCCTTGAGGAATCTCATAGTCTTGTTGTTTCCACTTCAGGATTACTTCCGATTTTTCAAATCTCAGGACTATGGGGTGGGATTGAGTTTACATTGTAGTTTTTTTTTTTAATTGTAAATTAAATGGGTGACCATAACTTATCATTCTCAAACGGAGAGAGAATTTGGTATGTTTGAATTCTTCTGTCAATGTCTGCTTAGAAGTTCATCTTGGGGAATTAGTTTTCTTCTTTAGTTCAGTGCATATTGATAACTTTAATTAAAAGCACACTTGAATTTCAACCCCACCAAAGGAATTGGAGAATTCCTTCGAATCAAATTGACGGTAAAACTTATCTAGTCTTGGACTCAGAAGCAGTTGCTGAGTCTTTTTCTTTTTGATATACTTTGCTTTGTTTTTGAGGATAAAGGTATATTAAGAGTAGATTTGTATGTAATTGGCAAGATGAGATGTAGCCATTTAAATTTTTTTATTTCATAATTTTTGAAAGTTTTGTTTTTTGATGGTACATTTTAATAGACAAATGTCAATTGATTAAATTATTTTCCCTTGAAAATTCAAAGACAAGTGTAAAAATTCTCAGATTTCAGTTTAAGCTAAACTGTATCTTAGAAGCATTTTTCTTGATTGTGCTTCATTAAAATTAAATTTTATTTGTGTGTGTATGTATACATGCCACAAGCATGTGTGTGGAGGTCCGGGGACAACTTGTGGGAGTTGGTTCTCTCTCTTCACTATGTGGTTTTTGAGATCATCAGGCTTGACAGCAGTCACATTTACCTGCTGAGTGATGTCACTGGCCCCTTTACTTTGTTTTTATATAATCCCTCTATATTAGAAAATGTATGTTAGAAAAAGATTTTGAATATTTTCCCATAAAGAAATGATAAGTATTTGAGGACATAGATATGTTTAACTTCATTTACACATTCCATAATATATGCTCGCTTCGAAACATTACAAAGACCACCCCCCATTGATGCTTTTATTTTATTTTATGTTTTAAGTTTATCTTTATGTGTATCTTTATGGGTGTTTTGCCTGCATGTTTATGCGCCATGTGCATGTCTGGTACCCTTGGAAGCCAGAAGAGGGTGTTGGGTCCTTTTGGGACTAGAATTACAGATGGTCGTGGGCCATCATGTGGGTTCTGGGAATCGAACCCAGGTCTTCTGGAAGAACATCTAGTTCTCTTAACTGCTGAGCTCTCTCTCCAGCCCTCCATTGATACTTTATATACTAGAAAAAAAAATCTTAAGAAGTAGAAGTATATTTTCCCCATTCTCAGAGGTGAGATTTCTGTTCTGCTTTTTATTCATGGTTATACAGATATGTTACCTTAAATCCTTGAAATAGATGGGTATTACATACATAGGTCTGCAACTTTCTTATCTCATTTAAATGTTACTTATCATTGCTGTGTGTGTGTGTGTGTGTGTGTGTGTGTGTGTGTGTGTGTGTGTGTGTGTGTGTATGTAAATGGTTACATGGCTGTGTGTGTCATGCCATAACTATTACAGATACTATCTCAAGGAATCTTCACATCAGTGAGGAGGGTGCTATTGTAATTATATTAATACAGTATTGCTGGTCCTAGTTTTTGATGAAGAAACTGAAGTTCAGACAAATTAAATATGCTTGGAGTTACAGTAAGTTAGAGAGTCAGGATTCAAACACAGAATATCTGAATCCAGGACCCTCTGGTTTGTTTACTAGATCAGAAGGCTGATTGTCTGTTTCTGTATTATAGCTCTGCTTTGTTTTTATTAAAAGTCTATTCCATCACGTGTGTGGCATGCATGATGGATTTGCTTGTTTTTCTTCATTATTATTTTAATGCTTTTTATTATTTTATGTGTACTTGTATTTTACCTGCATGTATGTCTGTCCCTGGTACCTACAGAGGCCAGAAGAGGGGATTGGATCCCTGGAACTGGAGTTACAGGTGGTTGTGAGCCACCATATGGGTGCTGGGGATTGAGCCCAGGTCCTCTGGAAGAGCAATCAGTTCTCTTTAACCGTTGAGCCATTTCTCCAACCCCTATTTTTATTTTTATTATTGAGACAGGGTCCCACTCTAGTCCAGCTGGCCTCCAATTCATGATGATCTCCTACTTTATCCTCTGGAGTATTGGGATTACAGGCATGAGACACCCTGCTTGGCTGTGTTTCCACTGATGGGCTGGTAGGTTGCTAATCTCTTCTTTTCATTTTATAAGCAGTGCTAACATGGTGTACTTTTTTTCAAACTGGGATTTGAATCCAGGATCTTGTGCATGCTAAGCAAGCACTATACTATTGAGATGTAGCTCTAGTTTCTTTAAAATTTGAGACAAGGCCTCACTCTAACATAGCAGGCCTTGAACTTAAGATCCTCCAGCCCCACTCTCCTTAGTAACTGGAATTGCAGGCCTGCATCACTGGTACTCTTGCTTTTATATCTGTGAGACTACTGAGTTAAAGGGCACTTCTGACAGAGTTAAATGTTAAAGCTGCTGTTAGCTTAAGCTAAAAAAAAAAAAAAGAAGAAGTATCAATTTACATACCTGCCAAGGTTTATGAGAAGGTAGATTTCCCCATTAAAAGTTCTGGATGGATGTTGCTTTAAATTTGTCTTCTGATAGATTTTTTTTAAAAGGCTATTTTGTTGTTTCTGTCTGTTTGTCATCCTGTCTGTCTCTGTCTCTTTCCCTCTGTCTGTCTCTCTCAGACCCTCTCTTGCCAGGTAGCTCAAGTTAGTCTTGGATTTACTGTGTAGCTCTGGTTCACCTCAAACTAACACTAGTCCCACTTCGTTTCCTAAGTGCTGGGATTACAGGAATGCCCACTATACTGGAGGTATTCTTCAATTAACACTTTGGTGCCTGGACTATGCCAACCCCTCTGTTAGTCTTTAAGAAATAGAGAGATAAGCCAAACCAGACCCAGTCTCTGTTCTAGGTAGTCATTTAGTCATTAATTAGATTATTCCATAGACTGGTATAAAACCATTTATTTAACTATTACTAATGTGTACTACTTGCCAGGCACAATTCTGGTAATTATAATTCATCAGTGAACATGACAGGTAATAACAGTCCTGCCGTAATGAAGAGAAAACAGGTACTGAACATACACAGGTTATATAGAGTCTTAGCCAGTAAGTGCTCTGCAAAACAGCAGAGCAGAGTCCAAGGAAGTATGGACTAGATCATTTATTTATTTTTATTACTTATGTGTATATGTATTTGTGGGATGGGGTGGGTACATATGTATTTAGGTGCCCAG